TATTATTATGTTACAAGAAATTAACAGAACCCCAAACCCCAGTAGGTTTTTGGGTTCATGGGATGTGATGGCCTATGGCAGAGGTATAGCAGTCCAGAATTAGTGGTTCTCAGTGGTCTGGGAGGTTCAGTGTAGTCACCCCTGGCTGGGTAGGCACATCAGTGGGCCTGAGTTGGCATATTCATTGGTAATTGGTGTCTGGAGCATGGTTCTATGTGCTGCCTATGTGGCATATTGCATTGCTGAGGTGCAAGCAACTTTTCCCAACTGCTGTGGCTTGAATGGCAACTGTCAGCTACCAGGGCACATGTGATGTCTAGCTTGTGTCTGGGCATATTTGGTGGTAGCCAATGTCTGTCGTGTGTGCATTTGCAGGTCACCTCTGTGCTATGTGTGGTGCTTCTGGGACTCATATGCCTCCTATTAGCTGCTAGAGCATGTAATGGCTGACCCACTCTGGGTGAAGTCAGCAGTGGCTGAACTCTGTGGGGCACATGTCTGAGGGCCTTGTGGGTCATATGGTACTGCTGGGGTATAGGGTGCTTCTGCCAGTTTCTAGGAATCACACGGTTTATGCTAACTTCTGGGGCATATTGTCAGCAGGTCCCTGACTGTGTACGTTTGGTAGAGACTGTTTGTGGCAACCCCCTGTTCCAATATCCAGAATTTCCAAGTCTCAACAAGTCTCTGACTGTTCAATATTATGTCTTAATTTATTCACTCTGTCACTCACTTTTCTAATTAGTTGTTATCTCAGTGCTTTGATTTAGGACCACAGAGGAGTAGAGACTTGTTGCCTTGTTCCACTTTGACATCTTCCTAGTCTCTGTGCATCTATTGGGATGGATTCCTCTTTCTATTTTTTGTGAGGTCCCTTTAATGAGTATCTCTTTGTAATGATCCCTGGGCTGGAGGTATATCTTAGCTTCAACATTTCCAATCAATGTAATCAAAGTGCTAATTTCAACTACCACACTACTTTGAGAAGAGAAAGTAATGTCCAGTAACAGACATAATTTAGGACCAAACCATATGTTAACATATGCTATGAAAGTTATTAGTAATTATCTCTACAGTTCTATTAACCAAAGAGAAAGAATATATAATAGATGAGAAATGTATGCAATGGGCTGAAAAGATAAGCATTAATGACAGTATACTGAATTGAATTGGAAGAAAGAATAAAAAATGAAGAAAATGGAGACAGAAACAGAAAACATAAGAAAAAAGCTTGGAGAGGAAGGGAGACAAGATAAAATGAAAAGAGAAAAAAGAATGAACAGGAGGGTAAGGGAATGCAGGTGAGAAAGAAGAAAAGAAATATTGAGAGAGGATCTAATTAATTGACAAAATACCCAAAATTAGAACTTTGGGAAAAAACAGAACATGGAACGACTATAGAAATCAGTTTGCTTTGGGCAGCTAAGGCAATAACAGCCATCAGGACATTTGGTTTTCTTCTTGTTGGGATTTTTAAAATGGAGACATTTCTGTTTTGATTTTAGAATCTCCTGGCTATGAGCAAGTTTGTGTGACACAATTATCTTGATGTTTATTTGTTCTCAGCTCCCACCCAAACTTGCCAAACTTGTTAGGGGAATCTGTACACTGAACTATGCCATCTCCTTGATTAGCAGCATCTAATTGGGGAGCATTGTCTATTTCAGAGAAGACTTAACCATCAAAATGCCTTTGCTACTGTGATCAGGGGTGGAAGTGTATGTCTGGTAGGGCTGCTGGCCAGTTCTCCTGCCCATGAAGTCTTTGGATTGATCTGGATTGAGTTGCACCTTTTTTTCTGAGAGTTTGTGGGACATTTTATTTTATTTTTTGGGGCTTAAAAAACAAACTTTATTCCAATTACCGCAAAAAGTATGTTAACTCTGAAACATTTAACAGATTTGAATTTAACTCATAGTCACATAACTCAAAACAGCAAAGAGTTTGTGTGCTTAACTGCTTTTAATAACAAAACTTTAAGAGGGAACAGACCCCCACACAATTTGGGAGATATTTAGGCAAGCAAATATTAAGCAAAAAGCATTAAAAGCTAAAAATCCTCAAATTTAGAGAGAATGCCATTCAAGTCTTCAATATCATTTATTTGCACATGAAAAAACAAAGATTTTAATATAAAGGAAACCGAGTCTGAGTGCTTACCCTTTGTTCCAGTACCATCTCCTGCCTTGCCTTCATTTTCGGACTCCCACACCACAGTACTTCACCTGTATTGCCCTTCTGTTGGTTGTACATGATTGGCTTCCTGGAAGCAAGCCCTCTAGATCCCACATACACCCTGTCTGCGGCTCAGTATTCCCTTAGAGGTTTGCACAGCCTTATATGAGTATTATCACTGTTGTTGAGCTTGGGAATTTCAGGCATCCAAACGTAAGTTTATATACACAAGTTTTATTGCACAGGTCACAATGTATATCAGGTGATTATATAATCGACCATGAGTCAAGATGAACATTTGATTATTTAGACAAAAACATCAACTTTGTCCCCTACTACAAAAGAACAAGACACAAGATTTGCCACCATACAAAGGCTGTGTTTGCTCTGTGGTGCAGTCCTGAGGGCTTGTACCACTTGAAGAGTGTTAAATGCAGAATTCATAACATTTCTGGAGGCATCAAACAGGGAGCATAGGACACAAAACCTCAAGTGTCTTATACTCATGAGCTGCCTGTGCCATGTATGTAACAGAAAGGCCACTTAAAGCTCTTCAGATAGTTATTCAATCATGTTTGCCTTTAAAAAATGATTGGCACAACAGTTCACACTGAAGGTAAAAACAGTAGTTAGAATTTCTTAAGTACACATTTTGACTTAAAGTTCAAATAAAGCTGTTGGCTACAAGTTCTGAATTGACAAATTAAAAAAAAAGTCTAGGAAAACACAAAATCATCTCTGGTAATGTGTTTGCAGTTTGGTCTTCAAGAGCTGTAAAAATGACAAGTTTAAAAATGAGTTAAAACCATTAACAATGTTGTTTTTAAATGTCACGTTTGAGACACACACACACACACAAAACAAAGCACTTTCAATTCTCGTATCACTTTTATTTCACAAAAATGTTTTACAACTTAAATCCCTCCCCTGTGTGGAGTGTAAAGACAAAAAGACCCACAGAATGGAGGCCCCGGAGGTGTCTTCAAGGCCAGGGGCTGCTCCATGTGCGGAGCACCTCTGCTCACACGTGACTGGGGGTCAGGAGTGCCGTCTCCATTCACTTCTGATACTCCCTTTAAATCCTGACTCAGTAGGCCAAGGGAAGCTATTTAAAATTTATTTGGTGTCAAGTTCTTGCTTTCTGAAATCCTCACATCTGTACCTTGGTCTCTGAACTGCTGTATCTACCACAAAAATATGAAGCAGAGCTGCTGTAAAGCTATTTAATTCCATTACTGCCTTGCAAATATTTAATGTGCTCCCTAACCCTTCACAGTTGGAAGGATGGTCACCTGATTTAACCAGCCACACTGTATTTAGAGGTAAATGACTGTTTGGACTATAAGTCCACAAAAACTTTTGAGTAAGCTACTAGATGAGGCCCTGATTTATTTTGGTTGGTATGTGCACATATTACCCAGAAAAATGAAAAATTTGTATCAAAAAACCTTTCAAAGTAGGTTGGGAGCGGGGGAGGGGGGTGAGAAGGGTAGCTCAGTGGCAGAGTACTTGTGTAGCAGGCAAAAGGTCCTGGGTTTCATCCCCAGCACTGCAAAAAACCAAAGCAAACCCCCTCCCCCAAACCCACCCACTTCTTCATGTCATATATTGGGAGGCAAAAGCTATATAATATTTACAGATGGATTTTTTTTTTAAGGATTCATAAGCTACTTCTCTAGAATGTTCCTTATGTTTCATTAGTTTTTCAATTGATCCTAGAGTCATTTTGTTTCATCTACCTCGATAAAAAGTTCTAATATTTCCTGGTTCTTTTAACAAATAACTTATCTGTTAAATAAGGTACGAGTAGTTGTCGGGCCAATACCAAGCTCTAAAATTCAAAATAAGCCTTCTAATGTCTTTATTTAGATCATATGCTCTTAAATTATTTTGTTTTAATGTCACACTGGTAGAACTAAGTTCCCCAAATGCCCAAATCCTAAGATGTCCCTATTTCCAAAAGTAAAATAAAGACTGCTAATACCATGGAGCAAAATCTATCTTGAGCTTCCCCACTGAGCCCTGTAACATTTAGAAAGCAGGAAAAAAATGGGGATCAGTTAATATGGAAGTGTTTATCTTTTATGGAAGTGTTTATCTTTTAAAAGTAGTTTCAAGAGACCAGGATGCTTGAATATGATATATTACTACTCAAGGGGGGAAACCGTCAAAGCCCTCTGCTAAGTTGGCACCAATAATATTAAAGAAACCAAGATAAAAGAGTGTGATCCATATGCATTTATGACCTCTTAATAGCATGAAATATTTATAGTCCTCCATCTTTTAGCAAAGAAATCAGTAAAATTAACACAAGGATATTATGGAAGGGCTTAAGATCATAGTCAGAATTAAAGAGAAAACTTTCAAAGCTAGAAAGCAAAACTTTCATTAGCTGCTTGATTCTACCACATCTAAACAGGCAGTTTGGACAATCACGATCCCAACAGGTGCTTAGTTTCAAAACTAAAACCAACAATTCATCATGAAACACCTACACCTAATTAGCTGTTCTTCTCTGTTCTGTTCCTTTGTCTAACACATAAACGCTGGAGTTCAATGAAGACTACCCTTTGCAAGTGCTTCTGAAAGCCAAGAAGCAAGAAATGGAGTAACAAAGTAAGCCTGAGAAGTCCCAGGGCCCTAGAGCATTCTCTCTGGCTGGTCACAGGCATTCATGTTTCAATAACGAAGTCTTCAGGCTGTTCTGGAAAAAAAGAATCATATCTTCACTGTTTGGTTACCCTGTGAAAGGTCACCAGACAGAAGCTATTTACCAGACAACAAGCCTAAAGCTCTTCAGTAATGACAAAAACAACAAAAAACCCTTAAATTTTCCTACTGAAACTTTTTATTGTTTATTTTTGTTGTTGAGGCTTAAGGAAATTAACTTTGCCCATAATTCATTCAGCCTGGACTTAGTGACACCAACTTATATTTGAGCCAATTAGGAATAAGACCAAACTACATTCTTAGGTCTATTTAGTTAATACATGGCACTTCACCAACGACTTTTCTCATATAACCTTTAACAAGAACTCATAAGTAGCATTGATTATCCCCCAAGAGATGAGAGATCTATGGTAATTCAAATGGGCACCTCTGAAAAGATTTGTCAATTTTCTGTCCCGTTCTAGCCAGATTGTTTTGAAAACCTTGGGGAAAGACTGAAATTCTCCACCAATCTGAGACTGTATGCGAGTTTTTACAACATTAACTGGGAAAAACAAGAATCCCAACATGGCACCCAGTAGACCTCCACAGATAAAGTCATTGACCAAATGAGCACTGTGAGTCCTTGCAGTAGGCAGGTGCTCCTTAATGGGACCTCGAAGACCAAAGAAAAGGACATTGCTGGATCCATTACGGAGTAGAATGGGCACCAAACCTCGATAATACTCTCCAATTCCATGGCACTTCAGTGCCCTGAAAGCCTGATAAGTGTTTGTGAACTTGTCATGATGCTTGTGGTCTTGAAGCAATGTCTGAACTCTTTCCAATGGAGTGAAAATGGCTTCTGTTGTCCCTGCAAGTACTGCCGCCACGCCACGGGTTGCAAACTCTGGGGCACTGACGTGCTTTTGGAGAAGGGAAGACAAATCCTCGTGCAGACCAAACATAAGTGCCAGGGTGGTGGTTTTCTGCATTAATGGCCGAAGGATTCCATGATACAAGTTTCTAAATCCATCCCTCCTCAACTGAAGCACTGCATCCC